AATGTAGATGTCTATGGGCCGCAGTATCTACTTACAATCAGATGGCCTGTGGGCCCGTTTGTCACCCTTCTATAAAAAAGCACTTTAATTTTATTTATATTTGTTGATATCCACTTGTGTCGGACCTAGTTTGTGCTTAACGAGCGGTTTTCATTTAAATGTTAGGCGTTGATTTCGCCATCCGGAACGAAACTAGTTCAACCTGTCGCAATTACTATACGATTCCTCTTATACGAACTGAGAACATACGCAGATCCATTTTTTCTGTACTCTTGGAGTCTCTTGGACTCCTTGTCTTGGATTACCGTTTTACCTAAGAGTATGTCTGTGTAGGTTACGTAGTATTATTATTAATTTATTCTGTGGTGTACCACCATGTATTTTTAAGCTATTGCATAGCTTCTATCGCGGGCCTTGAGCGCGGGGACTGAATCCAGAAATTCCGTAACGAAAAAAAACCTCACGCTCCGCACTCCGACGGGCATGGAGGTGTGACGTTGAAAGCCGTGCATCGTCTAACGTCGTTTTAATTCGGCAGACTTCGGCACTCGGCAGAGTTCGGCACGGTGTTTGTGTGCGTGCGACTAGACGTAAGCGTGTACACTAGCTGCTAACTCAATGATAAAAATTCCTGAATAACCTACATGTATTGTAAGATATTAAAAATATTTTAAACAATATTAACTTCTCATTTATTCAATAAGAGAAAAAAAAATTGTTTTCTTATCGGTCACCACGCTCAAAAAGTGTAACTTGATTTAATATCAAAGACTTAACTGCATAAATAAAATAAATAAATAATTATAATTGCATAAGTTGATAAAAAATGCTATGCAATAGCTTTACCGCGGCAGTCACCGAGTGCCACACCTATTTTTTTTTTTAATCTGTATTGGCATATAACATGGTAGGACAGATAAAACTTTTACATTTCTAAATGAGCATTCATGTTTAATCGATCTATCGATAAGCAAATATTTTGTCATCGTCATGCAATCAAATCACATGATGAATATCAATTAAATAAATATAAATTGCAATAAAATTAATACAAATCATATTTATACAGAATGTTAGCATTTGAAAATAAAATGTCAAGAACCATAAATAAATTACTCAATGCAAATTTCAATTTTAAGACAAACGAAACAATGTCAAAAATCATAACTTCACAAGAATAAACGTAAAAAAAAGAAAAAGTACAAGAGGTCAAACTTATATCACTATTGGAGAAACATGATACAACAAACAAGTTATAAAATTTTTAAATTATATTAATGATTATTCATTTAAACAATTAGTAATTCTTTTAATAGTTAGTTTCCTGTTAACAATTTTTGCCGAAAAACAGCAGTACGTCCACTACTGTGTTCCAGTACTATTATTTATTCTGTGGTTCCAATTTAAACGGTATAGAGTCGGTCTGATTGCAAGATGTGAGGTATTCCATCTTAGTCTTCAGAGGTGATAACGTATTCGTAAGCCTTCTTTGTTTGATGTTGGTTGTAGGTTTCCAAATTAGTATGTTTGTCGCTTTATATAAAAATATCTCATTTACTGCGGACGGAATCGATAGGTTACCTAGAGAAGCCTCTACCGGCTAAAGCCTTGTGATATTCGCATCTCCGCTCTTTGTTGGGGCTTGTCGCTACGGGAACACTTACGCACACTACTGATCATAAAGGTTAGAGAACAGGAGAACGATCACTACGTACTAAAGCATAGCCCGCCTGTCCTAGGTTAGCCGATAAAATAAAACCCAATTAATTTACTAGACAAATGTAAATAATACCAACGAGTTAAATGATATGTTAATAGACGTAATGAGAAATATAAAACGCGCGAACTACTGTTTCATGTTTATAGACTTTTTTATGTGCAACTAGGGTTGCCACCTTTTTTATGAACAAATATAGTATTTTTCCCAAAAAAGATGCATATGTATAGATAGTACTTTGAGAAATTCGGGAGCAAAAAAAGTACAAGTATTTTTCCATACATATTTGTTATTGTTCTTTGCTTTTGCCATCGATGATCTGACCGCCTTCCTGTCTACCTTACTCTAAAGTAATATTAGGAGTCTGTGCAATTTAGATTCATATTAAAATAAATTAACACTTAATTTTTAATTAAATTAATACATATTCTTTTTCTTACTTCTTTCAATTTTACATTCATGATTGAAAAAATACTTTCTTGTTCCAGATTTCCAATCACAGTTAATATAAAATAGCGCGACAGTTGAATTAGGGATAAAAATATAGTATTTTTCGTACTATATTATTTTTCTATAATTTAGTGTACAATTGACTGAAGTAGTGTACGAGACTACATATTATAGTACGGGTGGCAACCCTATGTACAACAGTGCAAGAAATATTATACTTACATTATGTTTTACGCTTTGTTAGGATTTAAAATTGGTTTTGTTTTCCATGTTACGGCAAATTAGATTTTTATTTCAGGGGTCGATAAAATATTTTTTTATCATCATCATCATTACAGCCCTTCACAAGTCCACTGTTGATCATAGGCAAGGCAAAGATCTTAGGGGAGCAAGGAATGCCACAAAGCACGGTCCTGAGCCACCTGCATCCATCGACTTCCTACATGTCTTACCAGGTCGTCACTCCATCTAATGGGGGGTCGCCCTACACTTCGCCTACCGGTACGAGGCTGCCACTCGAAAATCTTTCTTCCCCATCGGTTGTCGGTTATTCGAGCGATATTTTCAGCCTATTGCCACTTCAGCTTACTAATGAGTTTTTCTATGTCGGTTACTACTCAAGTTCTACCGTGGATATCCTCATTTCCAATTTTATCACGCAGGGAAACCACGATCATAGCCCTCTCCATAGCTCGCTTTGAGCTTCCTCATACGGCCAGCAGTGAAGGATTCATGAGTCATCACTGGCGGCACGCACTGGTTGTACAATCTTGTTTTGAAATTTTGAGGTTGAGCGCTGCCCAGTCGAATTTAATCCGTCGATTGACCTCTCAGTCTTACCGGCGGACACACACGATCAGTTCAACTGATCATTCCAACTGATCAGTTCAAAAGGACTGCTGATATTTTTTAAAATATCGGATTTTCAATATAAATAAACTTATATATAAAACGCCGATATTGATATATTTATAACACAGAAATCTAAATAACAAGGCAATTATTTATATTTCTGTGATTTATAATTATCCATATATCGATAATACGGTATTTCAAAAAAATATCAACTGTCCTAATTTGAACTGATCAGTTGGAATGATCAGTTGAACTGACCGTGTGTGTCGTCAATTAGATGGACTTGCCTAATCGGATTTTTTTACTTAGTTTCAAACACAATTAACTTTTAATAAAAATAAAATGGTGTTTTTTTTTTTTTTAATTAAATAACAGCGATCCGCCTCGGCTTTGCACGGGTGATTTCTGGATCTCGACAACACCGCCACCTACCGGGTCCAATTGAGTTTTTAAACCGTCCAGGGACCAAATACACACAAAAAATTCATGAAAATCGGTCGAGCCATTTTCGAGTTTTTGCGAGACGAACGGTCACCAATTGATTCTTATCTAATCTTCTAGACTGTCTAATGAGATAAGTAGTACAATGTCCTTTACTTGAGAAGGAAACCTGAAATGATCGTGGCCAACGTGGCTCCGAATAATATATAATTAAATAAATTATCGCATGAAAACACAATGTATCTTACAAGTAATACAAATTATGTTAAATTAGATTGCTTAGTGCGATTTCCAAGTCAATCTATGAATTTAAAATATAAAAGATTTTTAACATTGATATAGTCACTATATGATGTTCATAGTTTAGCTAATTACGTAATAACTTAAAACAGAAGGACCCTTAAGTATGGACTTAATAAATAAGAAAAGAGCGATTAAATAAAAACCCCCGAAAAAATAAAAAGAATAAAAAAAAAAAATTATAAAACACTAAACACTAATTGTATTCTAAATTTGAAGCTTCTATGTCTGCTAGAAGTGCCTTAGAGTTTTGATGATCGGTCAGTCAGTGAGTGACAAAATTAAGAAACTTTAACTAGTTGTAATTCTTAAACTATTCGTTCAAATTTGACGAAATTTGAAATATACTATTTTTATACAATTCCTACTTGGTTACTGAAAATTCAGGCTTCTAGTTCAATCCACAACGAAGTTATAGGGGGTCGAAAATGGCCTGAACTGCTTCGAGAAAAGTATGGTACGGCCGTGCCGATGCTGACACTGCCGTGCCCCCAGATGTTTTATTTCCTTCCGACATTATAGTCCTTTGCCAATGCTTGAAAAGAATTAGACCTTGGATAGATAAATAGATAGATAATCATTTACTGTCACAACTATGAACATGAGGTCTTACAAATATAGTTACAACAGTTTCGGACGTACAATATAAAACACAGCAATAAATCAATAATTACGTCTAAATTATTCATGAAAATTATAAAAACGTTTTGATATTAATCATTCTTTCAGCTTTTTTTTGATGACTTAATGAATATAGGTAAATGGTTAAAGTTATGTGACCTAAATCTGTGCTCAAATAATTTAACGATAATTTACCATCTTCGGGTTTCTCTAGTCTAGATCTGGACAATAATTGAATTCTAGAAAGAATGTGCAATATCTGTGCGTGGCAATTTAACCCAACTTTTACTTATTATTTTTATTTTTGTTGATTATAACATTATATCTATTTTGTTACAGGGATTCAACATCATGAATATGAACATCTAAGAAACGCACGACACCACGGGATGGACCTAAGATTCTGATTGAAACCACGACTAAATACGAACGAACGAACATTGTTACTAACAAATGTGTTCATTTTGAATTCATGTTAAATCATTAAAATAAAAGAGTTAATTATTTATATGAAACTGATTAAGTTATTTTAGAACGCATCTGTAAATAGAAAGAGAGGCGAAGAGCGAGATAGACAGCTGCGTCCCAAAATAGTGCGTTCGGAAATAGATAAAAAATGTCGAGCTCAGTAACTGAGGGCGAGGCGGTGGGGACTGACGCCTCCAAATGGTGGTGGAAACCATGGAAAACTATGGCGGACCTGGCCGAAGCCGTTGACGATCTCATATGCAGCTTCGATTACATGGACACAGCTATGGACAATCTAGTCATGTTAATATTTATCTGGATAGTTTTCTCCATCATCCTTCTCGGTGTCGCCAAGTGGGCTTACGGAAAATTCGGTTCTAAGCCGGCGGAATCCGAGAAAGTGACGAAACCGATCGACGAGCCTAAGAAGTCGACAGCGAACGAAATTATTACAAGTTCAGATAGCGTCCTCGCTACAAGCGCAAAAGTTAAGAGTGGGTCCTTTAAGCCAACGAAGACCAGCTTTGTGCCAGCTACTCCGCCAAACAAAAAGCGTTTGGGGCGTATGTCCCCTGGCCCCGAGCAGTTAAACATTAAGAAGCATCAGAGCGTAATCGTTCCGACATGTACGGGAGCCGACCCTGTAAGCGTCACCTGGGTGAACGAGTTATTGACTTGGTTATATAACGATCTTGTTATTGTGAATGAATTAGTGCAACAATGGATTGTTTCTATAAACGAGTTCTCGAAGAAATCCGTCGAGGAGGTAAGAATTTTTAACATTTTGTGTCTAGATTAAGGTTAAGCAGACAGATACTGCTCGGTGATATAAGAATTTTAACAAGTTAATCTTGAGATGCTAGCTCTGGCAGTTGAATAAAAACACTACTGATATAATGAATATTAAAAGTTAAAACAGGTATCTGAACAACACAGTAATAACAAAAAATAAAATGGCAACAAACAACAAATTACCATATTATGATTTACGTTTTATTCTCATAGATATTTAATTTTAATTTCATATACATATATCTAATCGATTAAAGAATGTCGTATAATGTATTTCTATACGAAATTTGGTAAGCGTTAGAATATTAACAAATCGGATTTCTCCCAACAATGGTACCCTGGTACCAGACGAGTGTGATGAGAGAGAGAGACAAATAAATGTTATCTTCTGATTTTGAACGAAATTTTGACATTTGGCAAACGCCTAGTAATGGCGGGAAACTGTAACAAACGCGCCAAAAGGATCTGCTTTAAATTTAAATTGATTGAAACAAGAATTTAGGTACGCTAACGATTTCAAAATACCTATGTTCACTTTATTTTAATATTTACATCACATCTATTAGAAGCCAATAAATTAGAATACGATGAAACAAATTGCTTTGCGACGGTAAGTGTAAGTTTTGCATCGAAAATAAACCTTATGCTATGGGCATAGCATACCCCGAGACTGTAGTGGCAATATTTTTATGTTGGTAACATTAATAGGTCGTCGGAACGAATAAAAATAATGTAGTTCAAGGACGATTTGCATCTTGTTGCGGGAATGAACGAACGGATCAGTTAGTTCAATGGAAATGATGTAAGTTTTAGTTCGAAAATGAAAATTTTTATATTTTTTTTAATGTTTGCGTGGTTCTACCACTGCAGCTAAAGCCATGCTGCAGATATATTATGGTTGTAGCACGAATGGGTCGAAAAGAACCACGCTCTCGCAGAATGCCAGCGTAAAATAGCACCTGAATGCTGCTGTGTTTCGTATGGTGAATGTAGAGAGACGGATACCTTTTTTTACTGGAAACGAGGCATTCCATTCAAAAATTTAAACCCAAAACAATTATTTATTCCGCGATATAAATACTTGTTCCCTACGGGATTCGAACCCGTTGCCCTCGGCGCCACTTCTTAATGCTCAACTACTTTACGCATGTAATTAATTAGCCTTATCATATCTTACGCTTTAAATTAGGTAATTAAAAAAGATAAAAATATAATAACAATGGACGTCCTTTGTGAGTTCGTACGTTTCTTTCATTTATTACTAGGCAAATATTTTATGATCAAGATCTGACCCGTAGTTATAGAGTTATCCTTAATAGTGCGTATTTAATTGACTTCGACTACATTGATGATGTTCTCATTTTATTTATATTGAAGTCGGTTGTAATTTTTTTTATTTTACCACTTATTTAAATGTATGGTAGTGAAAGTTGGGTGTGGCAGAAGAAGCATGAAAGTAGAATAAATGCTGTAGAAATGCGTTCTTTAAGGAGTATGCTAGTGTTGAATTTGAATGACAGGGTGAGAAATTGCGTGATAAGAGATAAATGTAGTATGCAAGATGATGTTGTGACCAGGATTAAGAAAGGAATGCTTCGGTGGTTTGGTCACGTAGAAAGAATGAATGAGGAAAGAGTGACAAAGCAAATTTATATGGCAGATGTGAACGGCAGAGTCGGGAAGGGACGAAAAGTAGAAGAAAGTTTATCGACGAAATTGGTGATATTTTGAAAATGGGCCACATTAGGAGTACCCTTAACCGACGAGCATGTATGCGTAGATACATGGATGTAAAGGAGGCGAGGGTGGTATGTCAGGATCGTGCCAAATTCAAGTCCTTAGTCTCTGCCTACCCCTCTGGGTGACAGGCGTGAGTGTTTATGTATATGTATTATGTTATCTAAATGAAGATCAAATAACCAAAAGATCAAAAAAAATCGCAAGAGAAGTAATCAAGCCAGTGCTTGACCACAATTCCGCTTGGTAAGTGGTAATGTAGCCCTAGAACCTAGATGGTAAATCGCACTGTGTTAGCGTAACCGTGAGTTTGCACTGATGCGATTCTCACAAAAAAAACATGTTTTAAACACTGTTTTCTGTCAATGTATCAAAAAGCGTTTGCACATAGAAAGAACATGTTGTAGTGAAACATGTTTGACAGTTTATTGTACATTACATATTTTTACTATATTTTGGGTATGTTCCGAAATACGACGCAGTGTACAGTCCAATGCAAATGACGTCATCATTTGACAGTTTGACACTTTATTGTACTAGCGTGCCGCCGCCATATTGTGTCGGATATCCGGCCATAATAAAACAATTTTTAATTGTGTGTTTGCCGAATAAAGCATGCCAGAATTTGTTTCTATTTATTCAAATACAAAAAATTATAGAATAATTGATGGTATATCCATTAGGAGGATATAATGATTTTTGGAGCACAAAATGACAAAATAATCGCCAACACTTTTCCAAATAGCGCAAAAGTATGACGTCATATACTGTCCAATGTTTTGGAACAAATCACCAGTATAGCGTCGATTCATGACGTCATTTGCATTGGACAGTACACTGCGTTGTATTTCGGAACATACCCTTTATCTTTATAACTAAAAAAACAAAATGTTTGATAACAAATTTGTAGAATATTGTCATGTTGAAAGATAAGTTTGAATATCTGTTGAAAATTTTACACAGTTTTTGTAAGTGTGAACGCCACCATTAACAAAACATGTTGTGTGATTTATTTTATGCGATTTGTTTCATAACATTACGTGTTGGATGTTTCTCAGTGCAAACGTACTGTAACAAAAGCCTATTATATATTCATATTATATTCACTCTTGCTTTGAAGACGCCTAGATTGTATTCGGACGGCAAAATAGACGCCGGCAAATTATTCCACTCTTTTGTTGTACTCGTACGCATTACACAAGGTAGCAAACCGTTTAGTTCTAATGCGTGTAATAAATAATTATAATGACTGAAAGAGAGATTTAATACTTTGTTTCATTTTAACTTTGCCGACTTTGATACAACTTCTTAGGACCGATTTCAGTAGGAAAGTAATATTTTATTTATTTAATTAATCTTTATTATATACCTTATACTAAGGGATATAAAGGACGGAATTAATACCGTATGGAATGTGGAAATTATTTCATTATTTTTTGTTGTTGAAGTATGTTTAAGTTTTTTTGTTAAGGTAGACTTTAACTACTGACTGCCTCGTTGGTCTAGTGGTTGTAAACACGACTGCTGATCATGAGGTCCTGGGTTCGAATCCCGGGTCGGACCAAAACAAATCAGTTATTGAGTTTTTCTATCAAGAAATTCTCAGTCGCTGTCCGGAGTCCGGAAGTTGGCGATGTCTCACCCCATGTCTCGGAAAGCATGTAAAAACGTTGGTCCTGCGGCTGATATCTCTTTGGTCGTGTCTGTTTACCGTCCCATCAGACTAAGAGTGTGAGGGAATAGAGTGCACCTGTGCTAGCGCATACATTTGGGCACTGTAATTCCATCCTGCGCTGATGGCGAATCTCCGCTACAACGAAGACTGGCGGCCTTTACCGAAATTCGATTTGGAGTGCTTATTTTTTTTTTTAATAAAATTTATTTTTTTCTCATTTTAAGACATTTCCTTAGAAGGAGGACTAAGCAACATTCGACCAACAAGCAGTATATGACCGTGAAGTACCGGTGTAACCCCATCAAGCCGAGGTTCGTCCCCCAGCTAGAGGAGCCTCACTCCAAAAGCAGGGGCTGCTGTCTCGGAACTGCAGTCGGCGAAGCGGCGCTCAACAATCGTTGCACTCAATAGCTCGTGAGTCCACTCACGAGTCTATTTCGATGAAGCTGTAACGGCCGCATGGCCAACAGCATACACGTTCAGAAAAAGAAAGGAAAAGAGGCGACAGAGTGAAAAATTAAAACAAACTGCAGCTGCCGACTAGTCTTCTGTGCGTGACAACGATGGCTAATATGAGACTATCTATGGACGAAGCCTATGTTAGGTAGTTTTTAGTAGTTACTTTGGATGGACTGTACAGAAAGTTGAATTGATGAGAGCCCCTCTAACGCTACATTATGGTTGTAGCACGAATAAGTCGGCTCGAACGCGTAAGGACCATACTGTCATAGAATACCAGCGTAAAGTAGCTTCTTAATGCTGGTTTGATTCGCCAAGCAGGCATTCCACGTTAGTCTTCAGGGGTGAAATCGCATCTGCATTTAGATTCTTAATTGAGTATAGATATAGATATCTATGAGCTACAGCATCCACTTACCATCAGGTAGACTGTGTGCTCGTTTGTCACCCTTGTTCTATAAAAAACCAGCGTAAAATTTCAGCGTGGTAGAGCCATCATGCAGCTATGTCATGGTTGTAGCATGAATGGGTCGGCCCGACCGGGGTAGGACCACGCTCTCACAGAAAACCAGCGTAAAATATCAGCTTAATGCTGCTGTGTTTCGTATGGTGAGAGTAGAGAACCGGAGACCCGTTTTACTGGAATCGAGGCATTCCATCTTAGTCCTCAAGGGTGACAACGTATCAGCATTTTGATTCTTATACGAGGTTAAATGTAGATGTCTATGGGCCACAGCATCCACTTACCATCAGGTGGACTGTGTGCTCGTGTGTCACCCTTATCCAATAAAAAAACACAATTCTGTTGTATCGTATGATGAAGGACAAGAATCGAAAGAGATAAAAACCAACAAGAAACGAGGAACTATTTAGATATGAGGCATCTAAATGTATTTCTTTAAATTGAGTTAATTTACTTTAGTTATGTTTTACTTATTACTCTAGTATTTTCTCTATAGTGGAGACAGTTGACAATAATATATAATTGTGTGCACACATCCACACTTCCGATAGACTTTCGTTTCGGAATTCCGATTCCGGATTCCGAACTCAGCAAGCCTATATAAAATCAATGACCCGTCACACACCTACGGTAGTTTTCA